AAATTAATTAGAGAATTGAAGATATCATCACAAAACGAACAAATCTGAGAGAGTTCCACATGTAGTACCTATATATGTAATATCAAAGCAATCGGACTTGCAGTTTTCAACAAGAAGTCGAAAATATCACTTTTTACCAACAAGCAGCCTGTCGGCTGAGATAGCTTTGCTGTTAGCAATGCACATGGCAATTAAAGAACAGAAGATATCATTAGAAAATGAACAAATCTGGGAGAGGTCCACATGTAGTACCTATATGTATAATATATCAAAGCAATTGGACTTGCGGTTTTCAACAAGAAGTCGAAAATATCACTTTTTACCAAAAATTACAAAAATATTCATCAAAATTAGAGAATTAAAGATATCATCATGAAATGAACAAATCTGAGAAAGGTCCACATGTAGTACCTATATATGTAATATCAAAGCAATTGGACTTGCGGTTTTCAACAAGAAGTCGAAAATATCACTTTTTACCAAAAATGACAAAAATATTCACCAAAATTAGAGAATTAAAGATATCATTACAAAATGAACAAATCTGAGAGAGGTCCACATGTAGTACCTATATATGTAATATCAAAGTAATTGCACTTGCGGTTTTTAACAAGAAGTCGAAAAAGTAAAACATTGACACGGACGACGACGACGACGGACAATCACTCATATGATAAGCTCCGCTCGACAAAGTCGACAGCGGAGCTAAAAACAGATGTGAACACAGTAACTGTATTATTTTAGATAAAATTGTTTTATAAACAATCCGTCACTATTTAGTTACATGTACTGTAAATGCATTAATTATTCACTGGGTTTTAATTTCGCTATTTTCGCTGAAAGTAAAATACACTAAATTAAATCTATGTGAATTTGTAAAATAACGACACAACTCATTGTTTCCTTGACAAATTCGTGAAATTAAAACACAGTGAATATGCTCAACATACTGTAGAATACTTCATTTTCGCTTGGAATTTATATTCGCTGAAGAGATGATTCCGTGAAAATAAAATCCAGCGAATATACTTTTTTTCCTATTTTTCCATTAAACTCATCAAAAATTAGTGAAAATAAATTCCAAGCAAAACGCCCCAAAAGCCTTTTCAGCGAAAATTAATTCCAGCGAAAATAAAGTACTCCACAGTAGTATTTTTTATTTCAGATCTTGTGGGTTTGTATTACAGCTAAACTTTGGACACAAGCATTCTCCGGAAATTGAAGAAATCTCAAAGCCATGGAAACAAGATGCCCTATTTAATTTGCATTTTATCATTTACATGATAGAATTTTATGCAAAATATCAACAATGTATATAAATTATCAGAATTCTCTTTAGTTGAAATTGGTTCCATCTTGAAACCATTAGATAACTTAATTTTGCTTAACCGGTCACTGGTAGCATAGTGGTTGTTGCATCAGACTCATGATCGGTAGACCCAAGTTCAAATCCTACCTCAGGCTGAACATCAAAAAGGTCGACCCTACCCTGGGTGAGTGTGCCTCAGACTCAATGGGAAGGCCATTCCACTGGTGGAGATTCATTCACTAACGAATGTGACTTAGGGGGAACCTTGGTTAAGGGTTGCAGGTGCTTGTGTTCGACCAAGCCTGGTTGATGCCAGGATAGCGCATTAAATTGCCATTTGATAGGAAGACAATTTTGCAATTTAAAAAACCTCAAATTGAGGGGAAGTAATTTTGGGGTGAAATATGTCATGAACGCTGAAATGAATTTGTTTATCATTATTAAAACTGCCATCCCCCTCTTAACCGTTTCACCACCAGTTCCCTCTTTTCATCATAAATTCACAAAATAGTCTCATATATAGTCTGCATTTTCTTTCAGAAGAATGGGACAATATTAACCAAATTTTTTGAGTAAAAACTGAAAATTGACTCAAATTTTATTGGTTCACTCCAATGTTAGAATTCATTTCCAGAAATATTGAAGAATATAAGAAAAAAGTACAGAAAAAATTGGACGAGAAGTGGTGGTGAAAAGGTTAACCATTGCAATATTCCTTTTCATGATCAGTTTATTTCAGGGTCAATGCAAATCACGTAGGTCACGAATGGAGAAGAATTAGTGGGACCTTTTCCTTAATAAGTGTCTGGATGTCTGAAAGGTTTTTCACACATTGTAGAGCAGCGGACACCTGACACGTACACATTGAACAGTTCACTCTTCACACCTAATGCATCAAGAATCGATCCACTAACCGAGAAATGATGGAAATGACGTGCGTATGCATCTAAATAATAATTAACTGAAACTGACCATCATATTTTTATGATTTTTTGATTCAGTTCGTTTAAGAAATGGCAAATGAATTACTTAAAAGTGAAAGAAAGAATTGGATTGTTGAATGACAGGATACATGACATCATGTCATGAATTATTCATGAGGTGATTCGGATGACAGAAAATAATCACACACACAAAAAAAAGATAAACTTCCTTAACTTCAAATTGTCAGGAATTTTGTAGTAGTGAAAATAATCAAAAACTGACGTTTGAAAATGATAGATTTGAGGAAATGGAAAGTTTTTGATGAAAAATGAAAGTACTAAATTTCTGTCAGAAAATCTTGGATCATATGTTATTTCTAGTTACCCTGGTACTATGTGTTGTGTTTGTTTTTAGAAGATAACCCCACACTATTGCCAAAAGTGACAACATTGTAGATAAGTCATACAATTTAGATAAAACACTGTCTGCTAATGATGTTTTTTCTTTTATTTTGGTCTATCCCTGGTAGCTTTCAGAAATTGATGTATTGATGTAAAACTACCACAGTCTGCGCACGGCAAGCATTTCAATGTTCATATTTGCAGAAATCAAAGTTTGGTGAGTTTCAAACTCAATAAAATGGGATTCTCTTAACATGGAAAAAATTTTGGGAAAATCTAGTTAGTGTGAACATTATTCATTACGTTGTAAACTTCTCTGGCAATGAGACTTCAGCGGCGTTAATACTTAGGAAATTAACGAGTATTGATCAAACCACAAAACAAAGCATGTGTTCTTGACCAATTTCAAATGATAACATTCCTCAGGAAATTAGACAAACCATTTCCTTCCTTGAAGTCGGTGCTGGATAAGTGTTTATATTTCAGTCATTATTTGCCACAATGTAAACACTGTAATACGTCCATAAATAAACTGTTACTACCCTTGTATAACTAAATAAATATAGCTATTGGTTTCAAAGTAATTCAATCATTTTGCTTTGACTAATGACCTATTTGTTGGTAAAAGTTGGATGAATTTCTTCATTATAGTTTTAGCTAGGATCTGTTACCGAGGGTCACCATTGTATATTTTGTTGAAAATTATAAAGAAAAAAATATCGAAAGTGTAAAGTGGTTTTGATGGAAAAGGTTTACATTTTATGCAAATTTGCATAAGCGAGATGTGATGACGGAATCAATGCAGCTAGGTTATGGAATGTGAGATACTGTGAGTTTTCTTAAGAGTGAGACATTCCATTAGAAATATAGGGGTTGTTGCTATGTGAAAGTGTTTAGTTTGTTGGTTGAAGAACAAGTACAAATAAGTTTTTTTTTGCTTTTTCCACTATTTGCACAAAAAATGCATCATTTTGAAGATTTTTATATTTTATTCTTTGTTAATTATGGACGAAATGGACACGACTTACTATGGGGTACATGGCTTCATCAAAAGTTTTGTGGATTTATTTCGTTCCCAAAAATACACAAAAGGAAGATATGTTCAAGTCGTAAACAAACAAATATTATAAATGCTTGAATCATCAAATTTTGTTTTAAAGTCTAACTAAATACCTCTGCTACACTGAGCACAACAAACATCTTTATATTGCTTCACTGGAATGGAATCTTACTTATACTAGCACCAAGCAAACACAATAGATTGACGTAGGTGAACTAGCGGCTACTAGAAGATATGATCAAACAATTACATTTTGTACACGTAGCATCTTTATTCAAGAAAATTTGCGTAACGTAAACAACATAAATACGAAAGTGAATTATTGAAAGTCATTACTTTTGTGACGGAATAGCAATCATTATAGCTATATTTGTAGAAAAGAGATTTTTATTTTAAAAAAGTTTTAAAAAATACATGATTCAGGAGAATCGATTCTAGCGTTTTTTGTTTCACAGTAGCGCTTCTACTTCAGTCTGAAAAATCAAACGTGCATAGACACCAAAATGACAGCTGAAGACGAGGTCTGAGCGACCTCAGATCAAAACACAGCTATTGTGTATTTCAATGTAAACAAAAAGAAGAAGAAAACTTGAGCAGTCAGCTTACCTTTATGTGTAACCCACACCATAACATGAAAAGCACAGTGAAGTAAAGTAATGGGGCAAAGCATAAAATCCCGTCCAATTCCATTATTAAGTTCACATTGTCATTGTGGACTATTTCAAAAGGTTTTGCCATAGTCCATATACACACATGTGCTATTGCACGGTGCTTACGCTTGAAGTGTCGATTTGTATGAAACCTCAAACTTCAATGGAATGGTCTACTTGTCATAAAGGGAGGGGCAGGTAACCAGTGAGGGGCAAGAGAAGATTCTTACAACCACAGGATGTGGAAGACACTATTTATCACGGGTAGTCGACAGGAAAAAAGTGTAAACACATTTTTTTAGCTGATGATATCTTTGAGTTGACTTACTGTAAATTTAAAAAAAAAATAATAATATTGCTTACAGATTGAGAAAAAAAGTTTCCAGCATTTTTGGTCAATGTTTTGATTTGAATAGTCATTTTATTATAAATGACCTATGACCTGTGATTTAACCTTTAACCCCAATGTCTCTTACCTTCTGCATCAGTAGAGCTTGTACAACCTGATTAGCAACCTACAATAGAAATAAAAAATACATTTACTATAAAATAAGATGGCATTATGCACTGTGACTGGGGGGTAACACTTCCTTAAGTTCCCTCACCCATAACTCAAATCCTAACCCTGCCCCTCCCCCATTTAATTGTATATGGCCATCTTCTGGACACATAGTTATTTGGAGGGGCATATTTCAAGGACATGAAGGGGTGTTAACGTTGACCTGCCTTATCCAGTTCTTTCTGCATGGTCTTCTTTGTATGAAGGACCTATATACAAAACGAACAATTTTGGTCGTCCTTCAAGCAAGTTTTCATTGTGCTACATTTGCTCTATGAGAAACACAACTACAATAGAAATGGACATAACACAAATTTCAATTATTGTATGCTGTGTCATTAAAAAAAGATTTACTTTGAACATAGACCCACTTGTGTTATTTACAAAAGCACACACATGTATGCGACTAAATATAGCAAATACAATATTCCACTTTTCAAGGTATCAATTACTGCAACTATTTTCACTATTTCTTTGGAACATTAATCTAAACAATATTTTAATTGGCTTTATATACCAGACCAAATTAACAAAACTTGTCTTCCTCATGGCCAGGTACCCCATGAAGACAGCAGTGTAGATTTCAATGAATTCCTGTATAATTAATATTAATCTGAAATCATAATTGTTCCAGCGATAGGATTGGTGCAACATTGTGCAAATTTTTTTCATTAATCTTACGTAAACATTAATTGTAGATTGATATGTTCATCAACAAATGATTGCAATTTATTTTTCGGTTGATGCAGTTAAAACCAGTAATCTCTCCAGACACTGAATAGATGATTATATCGTCTTTGTGTCTCAATTCACGGTCTATTAAACATTGTAACAGTTAGTAAGGAGGCTGAATTAATAACATTAGTCTTCTTGCTAAAACAACAAAGGTCAGAAAGATCTTGTTTCGACTTCTAAAAATCAGGTAGATTCAATCCAGGGACATAAACAAAAATATTTATGTTTCTCACACTTGTCTCAAAATACTATTTGAAATAATTGGGGTGGGGTGGGGGTTGAATCAATAAAGTTTAAAATTGTATACAGTAGTATATTCTTCACATCCACTATATTTGTTAGAAAAAAAATGCCATTCACTGGACAAGCTAACAATGGCGGAGCACAGTTTATAATGCCTTTTTTTATGAAAAAAAAATTAATTTAATCAATGCAAAGTATTTTGAAGGATACATTTACATATGAAAAAACACTCAATGATTTTTGGCCTAACTAAAGATTTGAATTATGAAACAAACATGCCGCCCACATGTATATATACGAGCTGACTAGTTAGACTGTATTTGCTGCCAGGATTTTGAGGATGTTGAATGTCATTGATTTCAGACTTACTAGTAGTGTGCATACAAATATATTCAATATACTGTGTGGACTAAACAACAGCTGAACATCCAGGGTATATATGGATACCGTAATCATCCATGCATGAATCACCCTCTTTCCCAGACTGCTCGGTCCACATAAGGCTGAAACCCGGGCTATTATCAGTGCAATGAAGACCAACACAGATAAGTGTAAGAATTTAAGAAATGGCCATTCCTACCTGATCGAGGCAAGTACCTGAACGGAAATGTCCTAGCACCAAAGAAAGCTAATCTACAAAGCACTTCCTCTTCACCTGAGTGTATTCTGTTTAAAGTACCTCACATAACTGAACCAAATCAGGCGAGGAATTCAAGTCACTGATGTCCCCATCCACTGATACCCCCACACCTTTTAACGAGCTAGAGCAAACCTAAAATTCCTCATAATATTATAAAACATACTCTCCTTTTATTATTTCTTATCTCCTGAAAACCTCCTACTTTCTCAATACCTATGGTTTAACCCAGACTATTCTACATAGACAAGGACTAACAGATTCATGTTACAGGGATGTCAAGTAGGGACAGGACACAAAAGAGCAAATATTTAAAAAGCTTTTCGGTTGACTAATGTTGGAGATGTCTATTTCGGCTTGAGTGACGCAGAGCAAAAGGTGTTTATTATTCCTGTTTTGTTCAGTTTTAACTTGAGCTAGTTAGAATTACTATTTTGAGAAGTGGGAACAATGTTACATTTTTGTTAAATTTCTTTGTTGTTCTATTGACAGCACGATGTCTTGTCACTAACTATTAAAAGTGACTTACTTGATTAAAATCAAGATGCTAGTTCTGATTGTGAGTGTTTTTTTATTCAATTATCAGACAAAGTACATGATTGTGAGAAAGGTTAGCGGTTCATGAAACACCAAATAATAGTGAATGTACAAAACACAAGATTGTGATGCATTCCCTAACCTTTTGACCACCAGACTTTCTCAATCAAACGTTTCTGTAGTTTTAACTTATAATCTTCAATATTTCTGGAAATTAACCCGAATTTTGGAACAAACAGACAAAATTTGAGTAAATTTTCAGTTTTTACTCAAAAAATTGGGTATTTTTGTTTAATCTTTTAAAAAAAAAATGCAGACTATAAAGAGGACTATTTTGTGAATTAAAAATGAAGGGAACTGATGGTGAAAAGGTTACTTCCCATGAACACAACCAAGTTTCACATAACCTCTCAAATTACTGCAACTTTATCCACTTTTTAACTTCAACTTTATAAAGCACAAACTCTAGTAACTAAT